GTATTAGAAATGACAAACGTCCATCATAGAATTAATTATTCCTTCCTTTTTGATCCATATTCTCAGGTGTATTAAACCTAGCTGACACGTTCATTGATTATTAAGCCAATAATCTGGTTGTTATCAATTGAAAGAGTTTTTAGCACCGAGAGTGTTCCAGGCGTTGTATTCTCAGATCCAGACCCCATATACTCTGACCGAAAAAAAAAAAAACTTTCCCGCCCATTTCACATTGACTCGCACAAAAACAAAAGTTTTTGAAGCCATCGCAAAATCAATATGGCGTCTGTTTACAGTTATCTTTATACAATATAATTAAACTGGTTTGTATCTGTCACTTATAATTATGAAGCAAAGCACGTACGTAGAAATCATTGACATCAACGGTCGATGGTTAAACCGAGACATTTTCATTTCGAATTTTCTTTTCGAAAGCTGAATTGTTCGACATGTGAGACGTTCGACAATCGAGGTTCCTCTGTATTGTTTTCGCAGTATGTACACAAATAAAGGGAAACTTCTCTTTCATTAGCGAAAATTCAACTACATTTCAAATTTAAAGTTAGCTTTAATTGTAATTTTACTAATCTCTAAACAGCAGGAGTCTAGAGTTAATTTTTGAATAAATGTGTTTTCAATTTAGAAAAAAATTAGATCCGGAAATTTTCAAGGTGAAACAAGAAATGACAAGACAACCAAACTGCTCTCCATCCAATCATCTGAGAGACAACTTTCTCCATTCCATCAGAATGGCTGATGCTAACCTCCAAGAGAGGGACTCGTTGAGCCTACTCGGTTTAACATTATCTGCTGGCCTAAAATGGAAATATTATATTGAATCAATTGCTCGATCTGATGCTATGAAAGTTATATATATATATATATTAAGAAATGGAAAAAGTCCGACAATTTATTTATTAAAGACATTTTTATGTTTAACGTTCTTTTTTTATAGATACAAGTATTTAAGTAAATGCTCTGTTTATAATAAACAGTATGAAATAACATCCGGCCTGAATGTCCGAGAAATTTTCATAGAAAATATTCGTCCTTTGACAGGATTCGAATCTGCATCCTATACGGAACCGTCATTTACGCTGACGTGCCTTGACCACTCGGCCACAAAGGATCGTTCGGTTGGCAAGGTTGAATTTACTGCTTATAAACTTCAATCTTCCATGAATCCCGTACATTCATAACTGCTCATGGCGTATCAAATGTAAACAAATGACGTCATATATTAAGAAATGGACAAAGTCCGACAATTTATTTATTAAAGACATTTTTATGTTTAACGTTCTTTTTATAGATACAAGTATTTAAGTAAATGCTCTGTTTATAATAAACAGTATTAAATAACATTTACCGGCCTGAATGGATTAAGGATTAAAAAAAATTCCCCTCTGAAAGTTCTCCACTGCCTTAACCGGGTATTGAACTCACACTCTTTGGGTCCTGCCACTGGATCTAACCAACGCCTTTATCGTCTATGATATGTGTCCTTGTGAATTAACAGGATATAACTGACATCCATTAAACATGGAACGTGGAACTAGTACAGTCTACCCCAGTGAGCGAAATAAAGGGTTCAGTTCGACATTCCAACCACCTGAAGAAGTCCGGAGCAGAGTCGCACCGCGTGAAAAGCAGTTAAGTTCCAGTTGAGTTGGCAGTTCGAGTTAAGTTCGCAGTTCGCAGCTGAGTTGGATTGAGTTGGGCCCCCCTTGCAGGAACCTGACTGAAAGATTCCATGCAAATCACGACCTCAACTTCTAACCAAGAACAATTTATTTTTGAAGAACGACTTAGACTCACACCACCAAAACAAGTTTTACGAATATCGCCTGAAGATACACCAGGAACCAGTTTCTTAAAGAACAAACAACTTAAGATGTTAAGACTCGCCTAACAAAAACAAAGTGTCACGAATCCGTATAGCGGGTTGGGAAGAAGACGCTGTCCTGTATTCAGCAACCAGATATAAAATATTGTCATTCTTTTTTAACACATTTGAACTTTTCGAGTTATTAATTTATTTTCTTTTACATATACTTGTGCGGTATCACCTTTGCCCCGAATTCGGCTTGCACTATGGCCCGACGCCTGATTGATTTCGTCTACCTAAGATCCAATCACAACGTGGGTAGGTTAGACTAGAAATCAAAGCAGTTACTTCGGTAACCAGACGTTGGAGGCGAGCTGGGAACGACAAGGCTGATACCGAATCTAACCAGATTCCCATCCGAATCAGCAAAAGTTTGGAACGTCACAATAAACAGATACTGAAGGGCCGAAACGTTGTAATAAATATGGCGACAAAGATGAGGACAATAGTCCTAATTTTGGAACTTCTCACTCTCGACCACTCTCTCTTTTTATTCTCTTTATCGCTGGCTTAAAGTCATATCACGTTTAAACACCAGTTATCGTACTACGATCGCCGAAGTTAATCAAGTTCGAGCCCGGTCAGATGCGGTGAGTTTTAATGTGCGGGCGGCGTAATGGATAGAAATTTCTAGAAATATTTTCATGGCAACTGGCGAGCTTTTATTTCCCGACTCCAAACATTTTCTCACAGACGTGATGTGGATTCCATCTGTCTTTTCTAGAAATATTTTCATGGCAACTGGCAAACTTTTCTCTCTGGTTCCCCAACTACATGAATTTAAGCGTGCTACTAGATTGGCATTTAGGTCCCACCAATTTACTGTTGAATTAGTTAAATATAACCGCCACTTCTACTCTAGCAATTTATTTCCTCGCACTTCCCGACATTAGAACTTCCTTTCTCTTACTTGTTTCGCTGATAACTACAATCTCCAAAAAATTATTGCAACGTGAATTGTCATCTTTTGTTGCCTTGATCACTGTCCTTTCTTCCTTTGCTTAATCCTCCCTAAACGCACTTTTACTCTCCGTAACCCACTGCGTGCTAGCGGTACTGCTACTTTACTTGGGGTGAAATGGTTAAAATAAAATAAAAGTTACGCCAGTTCAGATATTCCCAACTACGATAGGCCATGTCACGTACATAATGTCGGTTCATCCCCTTTCCCTTTCTGTCTATATTTCTGAGATGGCGTATTATGTACACTATTTAGATTATTCGGACTATTGTCCTCATCTTTGTTGCTATATTTATCAGAGACAGATACTGAAAGGCCGAAAGATTGTAGTAAATATGGCGACAAAGATGAGGACAATAGTCCGAATAATGTAAATAGTGTACATAATACCTCATCTCAGAAATATAGACAGATACTGAAGGACCGAAACGTTGTAATAAATATGGCGACAAAGACGAGGACAATAGTCCGAATAATGTAAATAGTGTACATAATACCTCATCGCAGAAATATAGATAGATACTGAAAGGCCGAAACGTTGTAGTAAATATGGCGACAAAGATGAGGACAATAGATCGAATAATGTAAATAGTGTACATAATACCTCATCTCAGAAATATAGATAGATACTGAAGGGCCGAAACGTTGTAATAAATATGGCGACAAAGATGAGGACAATAGTCCGAATAATGTAAATAGTGTACATATACCTCATCTCAGAAATATAGACAGATACTGAAAGACTAAAACGTTGTAATAAATATGGCGACAAAGATGAGGACAATAGTCCGAATAATGTAAATAGTGTACATAATACCTCATCTCAGAAATATAAACAGATACTGAAAGGCCGAAACGTTGTAATAAATATGGCGACAAAGATGAGGACAATAGTCCTAATAATGTAAATAATGTACATAATACCTCATCTCAGAAATATAGACAGATACTGAAAGGCCGAAACGTTGTAATAAATATGGCGACAAAGATGAGGACAATAGTCCGAATAATGTAAATAGTGTCCATTTCCTTCGTATTTTACTAGTAATGAAGCAGTTCTAATATTACAGTTATTCTACGAGAATTTTTACTTTATGGAACAGATCCTACCCACTTCAATTTCAGATAAACCGTATTCTATCTTCATACCTCAAACTATGAACGTCATAATAGTCCTTTACACCCTTACAACATCCTCTTTTAGAAACACTCTGCCTTGAGTGATTCTCACGAATTTGCTTTGAGCGAACAATAATAAATAATGTATCCCGCGTGGATGGTTCTTTTGAACAGTATGAACTTAACTTCTTCAAGTCAAAAGGTCAATCGTTATTTTCATGAGCTTCCTTTCCTAAAACATCAACTTCCATTCTTAACACGCACTCCATTCAAGATTCTAACACTAATCTATTCACTTCAATGGCTCTTCTCCTCTTTACTGCGTCATTTCAAGTATAAAAACTGCAATATAAGGCTAAACGTAATGGCTTAAAGAAAAGTATTATTTTAAAGCGCTATTTGTACGGTTTCCGTTCCTAGACACTTTCCAATAACGATACACCAACAGCCAGCACATCGTATAAGTTCTAGCTTAATTCGATTAGTTAGTAATGCGCTAACAAAAATCATGCTACTATGTGCCGTTGTTGTATCGTTATTGAAACGCGTCCAGAAACAGAAATCAGAGCATTATAATGTTGGCGCATGACTGCTACTGACTAAATATTGGTGAACATATATTTACAGACATTTTAGGAAGAAAAAAATGTTTTCTACACTTAGATGAGTTATGCGTATAGGTAAGTGAATAAATGGAATAAACAACCAGGCATTTGGGTATATTTATTGTCACTTCTCGGCTTTAAAACAGAAAATGATTTAGGTCAGTTCGATATTTCAATTTTTTTTATGCGTATTAAGAAGCGCCGTTTATTATCATAAAAATGAAGGAAAAAATATGCAGCCGAAAGAATAGAAACTTGAAAAAAGCGGGAAAAAAAAAATTTGAAAACGGAAAACAAAACCTCAGAATATAATGGATAGAGGTTGGAGAATAGGAAAGGTAGAAAAAAGATGGTGAAAGAAGGTAGCTGGCGTGTGGAAGATATGACAGAGTAAATAAATAATAATTGAGACTGGTAAAAAACAAAAGACAGATAGATAGATAGATAGATAGATAGATAGATAGATAGATAGATAGACAGATAGATAGATAGATAGATAGGAACAGACTGAGTTAGATAGGTTTGTAAAGACTTAAATAGATAGCTATGAACAAAATGAGATAGATAGATAGATATGAAGTTGCGATAGATAGAAATAGATACATATGAACAGACCGAGATAGATAGATAGATAGATAGATAGATAGATAGATAGATAGGAATACACTGAGATAGATAGATAGATAGATAGATAGATAGATAGATAGATAGATATGAAGTTGCGATAGATAGAAATAGATACATATGAACAGACCGAGATAGATAGATAGATAGATAGATAGATAGATAGATAGATAGATATGAAGTTGCAACAGATAAATAGATACATATGAACAGACCGAGATAGATAGATAGATAGGAATACACTGAGATAGATAGATAGATAGATAGATAGATAGATAGATAGATAGATAGATAGATAGATAGATAGATAGGAACAGACTGAGTTAGGTTTGTAAAGACTTAAATAGAGATGAAATTAGACAGCTTAAACAAAATGAGATAGATAGATGGATAGATATGAAGTTGCGATAGATACAGATAGATACATATGAAGAAACTGAGATAGATAGATAGATAGGAATACACTGAGATAGATAGACAGATAGATAGATAGATATTATAGATAGATAGATAGATAGATAGATAGATAGATAGATAGATAGATAGATAGAATCACGTCCGTGATGCCCATATTTGGAAATAACACACGAGATGCTACAATTTGAAACCGGGTAACAGCACTCCAATAATGGTAGACGTTGTCACGAGTCATTTCTCACGGGGACGGTTTAAATATATTTATTCGTTCATTAGTTGACTTGATAAAGAGGTACATCTTTTCTTCTATAGAAAAAAAAAGCTTAGGAAAGAAGAGTTAGATAGCTTTGAAAAAACTTAGCTATGAAAAGGATTATTTATATATATATATATATATATATATATATATATATATATATATATATATATATATATATATTAAACATAGAGAGCCAGACAAACCTACCAAGGTTTCACCTAAGCGAATGGTCAGGGGGAAGCCTGACTCCTCTGACGATCAGCTTAGGTGAAACCTTGGTAGGTCTGCCTGGCTCTCTAGGTTTAACTAGGTCTGCTCTACTTACTGTATTGAGCACTTTATTTACTTATTTTGCTTACTCGTATCGGGATTTTTTTCTTTAGGCTTTGGACCGATTATTTTCGGCTGACGTACATGTTCTTGATTCTTTCTTTTTTTATACCTTTTTTTTCCCTTTGGTATTGGTTTGATTATTTGCAAATCAAGACACCAAAGGTTTTCCGAACGAGTATAATTTCTTATACTTATAAGACCATTACTACTACTACTACTAATATATATATATATATATATATATATATATATATATATATATATATATATATATATATATATATATAGATAGATAGATAGATAGATAGATAGATATGAACAGACTGAGTTAGTTTTATAAAGACTTAAATAGGTATGAAAATAGATGAATTATGGACAAACTGAAAAGATAGATATGAACAGACTGAGTTAGATAGTTTTGTAAAGATTTAAATATGAATATAGATATCTATGAACAGATAGATAGATAGATAGATAGATAGATAGATAGATAGATAGATAGATACACAGACAGACAGAGAGATAATTGCGTATACACACACACACACACACACACTACACACACACACACAAAATCAGACAGAACCTATAAATTTGCAGGGTTTGTCTGTTATAAAATATATTCAGGCAGCAAATATTCATCCAGAAAGTTTAATTAAAATGAATCCGCAAGGTCGTCTTTAATTTTCAATTTTGGAATAAGCGGTTTTTTGTTTAATCACCCGACAAATTTGTATCACTTTAAACGTTGTTTTTAGTGGTTACTCATATTTGGGTCGACACTTTTATTTATTAAACAGTATATATATATATATATTTTTTAATTTCCGTCTTTAGGTCTGAATATTTGACAAGTGGTTTTAAAGAAACAATCCGAACCCGTGACTCCCTGGACAGAGGGAAACTGTCGTTAGATTGAACCGATTCTGTCAGAAAAAAAAGCGTTGCCAATTAATCAAGGTCTGAACAATGCCTTTACGCAAAATCCTTCGCGTCATAGACTCTCTTGAAATGATCATATCTGTTCAGTTTCGTATCCAAACGTAAACAAATTAATTTTCGAAAGAAGTAATGGATTTTTTGTTTATTAATCTGACAGAGTTTTTTTTTTATCCCTTTAAACCTTATAGATTCTAATATTTGAGTAGACGGCCTGGTTAATTATTAAACAGTATATTTATTTATTTTCATCTATCGGCATGAATATACGAGAAACCTTATTAAAGAAAAACAATGTGAAATTTTGTAGAGTCTTTAAATGACTGTGTAATAAGTGACTTTGTAATATCCTACTTCGTAAGGAAATTCGACATTAAATAACCTGCTAAAGATTGATATGCTCTCAAATAAACAAAAATAATAATAAACTTTTGCAACCTTTGTACTAAGTATTTATCTCAAAATTTCATCACTTGGTTCCTATCGGATCATTCATGATTGCAAGTGGGGAAATACCATTAGAATAATTATTAATGATGAACGTACTCTTGTAGTAATAAATTTCCCAACTACAATATCGATAACAAATTATGAGGCTATTATATTAGACACAAATATAACCTCATCCACTTGTAAAAAAAAAAGATTAAAAATAATGGGAGCCCTAATAATAAAAAAGAAAAAGTCAAATCTTAACAATATTAACTACGAACAAGGCCACAATGTGCTAACCGTGTTCGAAAAATAAAACACTTCTTTAACACACTACAAGCATACTCATAACGCAGACACGCGTTTAAACTGAAAAATAAAATCATCCTTGATAATGTCTAAAGGTAAAGCCGAAAGCGCTCGGAACTATAGAACACTTGTACAGTTTCTACACACTCTATGTCCAAAAAAGAAAGCTCTTTTGCGAAGAGCGAAAAATAAAATAAAAAGCTTAACCGTAGTACCTTGCCTGTCGTTTTTAATTAAACATTATAACATATATATATATATATATATATATATATATATATATATATATATATATATATCTTTTATTTAAATTTCTTGAAGTTTCTCCTATATATTTTTTATGGCAATCATTACCGGTGATAGAGTAAATTTCCCCTTCCTGTTTTAGCTTATTATTATTTTGTTTTGTGCTAATTAATTTAAAAAAAAAATTATTAATAGTTGTAACAAATGTTATATTATGCATAGATAAATCCTTTTCAGTTGTAGTTGTGATGGACTTGTCGGGTAGAATAACATATCTTGATTCGTTTGTTTTTGTCACAATTATCCACTCTTACATTTTGAAATATTTTACGAGGATTTTGCTTCGCGTTGGATATGAAATAATTAAGGTACTGGAAGAGCTTAAAAGTACTTTCAGTGTATTTCTCCTCTTTATCTACATATTGAGGTTTACAAATTCTGAGTGTTCTTAAATAGAATCAAATAGTTATTTTGGATTTTATTTTGTTGTTATGGTGAGAATAGAAGTTTATGAGAACATTTTTAGTAGCTGATTTGCGATGGACATTTAGTTTTAGACAATAGTCATGATGGTGTAACCTGATATCCAGTTTACAGATGAAGTAGTGTCTGTTATTCAAAAGTGAATTCTGGGTTTGAAAAATAAATTTCTGCGTATTGATGGTAATATTTTTGTTAAAAAATATATTGCTGGTAATATTTCTATCTTCAAAAATTTATTGTTAGTAATATTTTGTTTTTTTCAAAATTTATTGCTGGTAATATTTTCTTTGAGAAATGAGTTGCGAGTAATATTTTGATTTTTGCTGGTAATAATGTATTGCTGGTAATAATTTTTTCCTCAGGAATTCATTGCTGGTAATATTATTTTTAGAAAAATACATCGCCGGTAAGAAAACTTATTTTTACACTTTCTGAGTGTTTTGACCCCAGTTTGGGAGGCTAACCACCTACCCACAGATCGGACCCCAACAGGTGTCACCACCCAGGGTTAGGGTGGACCTATGAAGATCAGCAATTAAGACGTGGTTCCACGATCCTCAAAATCTCCCGAAAGCCATGCTGTCGGATGTAGTTTATCGGCTTACCCAGGACTCGGATGTACTTTATGGTCATACTTAGGACGCGGGTGTAGTTTATCATCTTACCCAGGACTCGGATGTACTTTATGGTCATACTCAGAACGGCTTAGATTCAGACAACTGTCATAATGGTGTAAAATGATATCTCTGAAAGATAAAGTAGTTTTTTTTATTTATAAGTGAATTTTGGTTTTGAAAATACATATAAGCTCTTCCAGTACCGATTTCTGCGTTCTCTGTCCTTTATACGTATGTGTAATCACATAACGTTAAGCTTCTCTTTAGTTTGATGAAGTCCTAAAAGGCGAAACGTGTTACACGAGAGAACATTTTCCTTTGTCCACGAGTTTCTTAAAATTGTTCGGTTATACAAAAAAAAATCATGCATAGTTTTCTCATAACAAATAGCATGGATGTAGCAATATTGATTGCATGGCGACTGCCAATTTCAACGAGATCTTTGGCAGGATAGTTATAAAGGTCTCTGAAGCATTGAGGGGAGTTGGAAAATGAATAAACCGGCCCTTCCCAGTTCTGACAACCTGGTCTTAAAATAAAATCTTAAATCTGGCAATGGAATTTCTCAAATTCATTGTGCGATACAGTGTCTTCATTCTTGTAATGATGAAAATACATGAAATAATTGCATTGGCCAAAGTTTAAGACCTTAAGTAGACGATTCACAACCTATTTAAGTGATTTTACGTTGTTAAGGAAGAATATCCATATCCAACTCGCCGCTTCTCTAAAATCCTTTTCATTTTCAATACATATTATTGTAAAAGACGTTTCAAGATAAATGAAGCACTTTGTATGAAACAATTTAAGCCTGCGCATCATTTTCGTTGAAGCGAATGAATATCGTCTTGACAGTATTTTCAAGGCGACTCGACATTGAATTATTACTATTTCTACACAACACAGAGACAAACTATGAACAGAAAATATCTAATAACAGCGGCCACCTTAACAATATCTAATGAATACGTCGGATGCTCCTGGGTTAATCATCACTAAGGAAAGTTTCTATATTTTGTTAATCATTGTAAAAAAAAAAAACTCTAAGAAAATTGTGCTAACTGAAAAATACATACAACATTTTTTCTTCGTCAAATTCAATGAAACATGTATAAATAAAGCATTTCTTCGCTTAATTATTATTTTATAAAAAGATATGATTCCATCGCTACATAAGAGTTCTCATGTTTCAAAAACAGAAGCTAAAAACGCCAATTTCATTTATAGAAATTAAATCAAATTAAAGCAGCTAGTTCTGTTTCATCCACAAGCGAATTTTGGAATAATTAATTGTGAAATTTACTATTTTTTATACACACACACACATACATATATATATATATATACGAAACCAAGGTCGTCTATTCAATTGAACTCCTGATTTTTAAAGTATATATATATATATATATATATATATATATATATATATATATATATTGGGATCAAATATAGATCAAAATCAAACAGATTGATAGGGTAAAGAACGTTTGAACGTTTCCTATTTGTACTTTATCCAATCATATATATATATATATATATACATACATGTACCACATATTATGTACCATATATTATGTATCGCAAAATATCGAATCTTCAACAAATCATTGCTGCTTATAAATTTCCTTGTCCACTTGGAAATTGTTCCTCTAATAATAATAATAATATTAATATTATTAA